AATTAAAAATACCCTTATTAATGCGGGTATTGATTAAATTACAATTTAAATTTAAATTTAAGTTGTAATTTAATCATCGTTAAAAAAACTTTATATATCATATTTCAAAAATCATGTTTCGATTTTCCGCTTAAAAGCTTCAAACAATTAATTATAACTCATGTATTTAAAAATTTAGTATTAGGTATTATTAATATTATTGTTATTTATTACAGACAGAAATAACCTTGCGATTCGAAACGATTGAAATAAGAATCGCGTTAAATAATTACGTTTTATCTAAGAGACTTAACTGCTTCGACTTTTGGCTCGCCCACGTCGTGAAATGCGAATACATTAAAATGATAAATGAGTGCGATTATTTCCTTATTACCATCAAATTAATACTGCTCCTCTGGCACTGAAGTTTGCTTTCTTTTTTAGCCACACCCAGGTAGAAGGGCAAAAGTACCAGCAACCAAGCGATTTATTGACTAAAAATGAATTACCACGCAGTGGGCTATAATAAAAACGAACAAACAGCTACTACATTGTAGTTGACTTCTGGACGTAAAGTTACCTTGGATTTTGACTATAACATAATTAAAATCAAAACAAGAGAAATCTAAAAAAATACACAAAACCTTAAACCTAAAGAAAATAGTTGTATAGTTGTATTTAAATGGTTCACCAAATTTATTATTTGAACTCTATTTCTCCAAGCACAAAGGACAATGGTACTGAAAACTATGTCATCGAATTATAGGATGATGTTTTAGAACATTGCACCCTCATATTTTTTTAATTCTCAAAAATAAATGAATTGGCATAGTAGTTCCAAAGTAAATTTCACGTTTTGGTAATGCCTAAGCTACCCTTTCCCATCCTAAGGTAGCGAACATAAAAATATAAAAAAACCCGGCGCCGAAATCAAACACAATCAAGCGAATTGGGTTCCGTTCTAGTTCTAGTTCGGGTTTCCTTGCTTGCACAGCCATTTGAGGTTGTCCTTTGGGTTGGTTAAAAATAATCAGACCGCTTCGTGTTGTCGCAAGGACACCCAGTGGCCTCCCATCGCGGTAAACATCGTTTGTCAAAGCCCCGACTGCCAAGGACCCGGCCTGTCCGGCTCCAGATCCTGCTCCACTTCCTCCTCCATCCTGCTCCTGCTCCGGCAGCGGGATTGCACTTCGCTGAGAGCGGGGTGGATTGCTCCTTCAGTCAAGGACTTACGTGAGTCGCGGCCGTGCGATAAAATAACCGGTTACAAAATATTTGTTGACATTCCGCGGTAAATTACCATAATTAGTTGATTCGAGCGACCGACCCATGTTTGATCGGGCTGTCATTGTTATGGGGCGTTGGATTTCCGGCGACGCGGAGGAGTGGGTGTGCGTGCAGCGACATAATGCCAAACGGGCACTGCCCACTGCTAAAAGGATAATAATTAGAGCATATGTACGGATTGAGTGCAAATATTGACTCGACCTGCCTTGCCCCGCTGCCCTGCCTCCACTTCCTCATTTGTCGTCATTTCGGGTCGTTCTGGTGCGTAAGCCCGAATTAATCAGCCTGGTATCAATATCCGTGCAAACATTGCTCCACATAAAACATATGTATGCATAAAGGCGATACATATGTCAAAACCTTATGAACATGGCTTAACCACAAGGATTGTGTGCTGAAGGGTCTATACAAGTATAATGAAACTGAAATTATGGAAATACCAGAGACACACGTTTTTTGGCGAAACTAAATGCTTTTCGGCAATAAAACAAGGTAGTATATTGAACTTAAATTTTAATATTTTATTCCTTTTATTATTTTAAGTAGGTAATCCCTCATAAAATTTTGAACTAATCTCCAAATATTATATAGTTCGGGACGTTCTGATGCGTAAACTTAAAATAATCAGACTGTTTCGTTTCAACATAATTATTATAAAAGTATAACAAAACAAGCGGTTATTTTTCGGTTAAATAATTATTAAGCCTATACTTAAGAACCATGTTACATAAAAATGTAAATATGATGTTCTATTTACTCCATAGTAAACACAAAATATGTAGTTGCTTACCAAGTCGAGACTTCGTTGGTTACATTAAACATATAAAATACCACAAAGCCAATACACATGCCTTTACCTTATAAACATGATGCGTGAACTCAAAGTAATCAACCTAATATCAATTCCGTTAAAATATTGACACATATGTCAAAACTCTATAAGCATGGTTAAGCCTTAAGGTAGTCTTAGATACAAGGATTAAGGCCAAGGTTTTGTTACCACAAGGCTTGTGTACTGTTTACTATAGTTTTCAATAGGAGTAAAGTTAAGAAGTATTCGGTCAGGGAACCGTTTAAGCAGGACAACGTAAATATGTTTAGTTTCAAATTACTTGGGGCTACCAAAATTTTTATCAGGACCTGTAAATTGTTTAACTCCATGTTCTGATAAAACTCTGTTATTTGCATACAATCAAATAATTGATTTATAAATATGCAGATACTTAAAGATTGGAATTGAAATGAAAAAAATACATTTTTAATACATAATAATTTGTTAAACATTTTTGATCAGCTGGTTGGTTTTTAAAAAATGTTGTATGGTATGGTTCCCACACTTCATATAGTTTAATTTATTAATATTTGTTTTTCTAATATAAATCCAATCCCAAAGGCACAATAAGTCCCGAGAGGAATAACACCTCCAAATATGACTAGATTATTATAAAGTCCCATAGTGTTACTCGTTTGGTCTACAATGACAAAGTCATTAGTTAACATCCCTCCATCTCAAGGCAGACCGAGGAAGAACCACCGACTTCAGGGGCTGAACCAATGAACCGCAAATTAATCCCAAAGCCACAGCGACAATTAATATGCTACCAAACCCACGCCCACGAAGCGGAAAGTGGAAGAGAGATTAGGACAGTCAAATGACTTTAAATTAAGCCGATGTGCGTCTGTCGATTTAATTAAAATCAAAACAAAATCTTTGCCCGTCGCCACGCCCCTTCGCTGCCTCTGTGTGCCCCTTGTGCGTCCAAATAGACAAATAATAAAACCATAAATAATGCAAAACAATAAATGAGCAAGTATTCATAAATTATTAACGCAGGAGCTGCTGGCTGACAAAAGACAGCGCAAATACCCAAAATATTTTGCCAAAGCATTTAGAAGGACAATGAGGCACGAACCAGATGACAGAATCCGGGGAAGAATAGCAAATCCCCGCAGCAAATAATTGAGCCTCATAAAGGAAATATCATTCATTGATTTTCCCCCGGCAACCACAGCAGACTCTCGACCTCTCATTTCCCGCAGCAAGTGGATGAAGATGAAGTCGTCGGGTATTTCCAAGGGTAGTGGGTCTGGCAATGGAAATGGGAATGGGGTGGCAAGCGGTGGTGGGTCGTGGGCCTTGGGTTTGGGGCTCCTGTCAGCAGACAATATGGACAGCTGACGAAACTATCCACGGCAGAAGACTTTCACATAAATCCGAAATCTATGCCCCGTCATGATTTGCACAAAAAACTTGAGCCGGCAAATTTGTCGGTGGCCGAAAGGACACAAGAAAAATGAGGGAAAACGGAAACCTAAGGACGAGTCGGGGGGAGCAAATGATAAATTATTAAGGGATTTTTGTTAATTTGATGACACTGATGATGACCCAGGCCAGATTATCTAGACTGCCTTTTTCTGATTGGGCCAACCTGAAATTAACGAATAGAGTATATTGTAAAACATATTTGGGAAAACAATTTTTTTGTTAAAAGACTAACATCATTTTTTTGTAAGTATGTGAACATTTTTTGACTGCTTGAAATATCAGTTTAAAATAATACTCAAACACAAAAATTTTTATAAGCCATTAATTTAAGAAAAAAAGTGAGGTTTTGCCAATAGATTTACAATAAACGGATTTTGCGTTGTGCATTGTTTATTTTGAGTACCTTGTAAATTACTGATTAGCTAAAAAATAAAGGAACACAACAAATTAAAGAAAATATGAATATCACAACTCTATTTTTCTATTAAGTTTCTGTATTTTTGAGGATTGTTCATATAACAGCTGTATGATATAGTCGTCCGATTTTTACGAAATTTAATTTGAAATTCAAGATTTGTTAGAAAGCTATACATATTTCAAAAATCATGCTTGTCTGATGAATAACAACGCTGTTCGAATTGTAATCCCATTAATTCTATATAGATTTTTCGATCTTTTCTATGGCAGCTATATGATATAGATGTCCCATTTTTATAAATTTTTTTTTTTTTTCTTAAATGCCTCCTTTAATGCGTTGAAAACTTTTGACTGAACTTATAATATCCTCAAGTTTGCATTTAACCCACAAACCAAAAAAATTAAATCTAGCTTCTGCCAAAGTTATAAGAAAATAAAAAAGTTCCAATGCACTGAAGAAAACAATTGAGAAATTAAGGGGAAATCTAATAATGTGGTCATTGTTATCAGCCATTTATGTCTTTTCAATGTCGTTATTTTGGGCACCAGTGGAAAAGGGTTTAATTTATTCTACCAACTGTGCTAAAGTTTAAAAAAAAAAAACAGGCAAATTTTTCAATCTGCCTTGCATTTGTGGGCATAACGAGCTTGACACAATTTCAAAATATGCTTGCACTGTGGAGGCACTATTTGGATTTCTCTTTTTAATTAGATCTACTAATTCTGATCCAGAATAATTATGTTTTTTATAATATGGAATCCAGTAGTCAACCATTTTAAACTCACATTTATTGCATAAATTTCATAGGAACCAGCTTTCAATTGCTCTCTTAACAGCAGTTTCATAGCAACGTGATCTTTAGAAATAGCGAGTTAGTCCATCTAGCAGTGCTGTAACCACAAATGTTATTTACAGAAACGTAAAGACGTCTTAACATTCCTGTTAATAACACAGATTGAGTCGAGTTTCCAACCAATGTTCGAAGGTGAAAAATAAAGTTATGGCAGAAGTGCCAACTTATTTTCCTGTGATTATTGTCCAAAGCGCTTGGGGAAAGTTACTTCACCATCTGGTATCACTAAACCTAGCATAAAAACAAGCTACAGATGCGAAAAGCATAACAATTCGAAAACAATAAAAACGGACGAGATGAGTGCGTACAACCGACGTGCGGCACTTCGCAGCAGGAGCCCCAGCCGTGGATCCTCCGAGTCGGAGATGAACGAGTCCGGCTACACGTCCTTCCGGGCACCGCTGAATTCCACCGCGGGGACGCCATTTTTGTTGGAGGATGCGGAGGGCGAGAACTGTCGCAATGCATCGAACACCAGCTCGCTGTCGATTCGAGGCCTATCCACGCCCAGTGGCCATGAAGATCAGGAATTTTTGGACTGGGGCAAGCCTCATCCGAGAACCCATCCACAAAGGCAGAGCACCGTGCAGGAGGAGTCCTTCTCGATGACGCCGCGCCTTCTTGACGCACAAAGTCTACCCAAGCGGCGCAAGAAGCACTTCCAGCCGCCGCATAGCAGCCCCAAGAAGTCGAAGAAGCTGCTTTTCCCGTTAGAGCAACCTCAGGGCAAGAACCGCTTCTACGGCGGGGTGGAGCGGTTGGACATCGTGGCCAAACTGGCCCAGACGGAAGCTCTGGAGTGCATACTGCGTCATGTGAGCGCCCCCACGCTAGACGTGATGACGAAAGTGTCGCTGGCCTGGAAGCAGGCCGTCTACCGTAGCCAGCGGAACTTGGAGCGCCTGCAGAACCACCGGCTCAAGCTGAGCCTCACCAAAGAGAATTCTCATGTTCCCAAGCGGCGCAACCATGTGCCGAAGGCAAACAAATCAGTGCCATTGCAGACCTCGAACCACAGCAGCCTGGCCAACAGTGCCGCCTCGCTGATGGACTCGGGAAACTCGAGCTTTCACCTGATGGACGTGGATGCCGGCCGAGTTCTGCGCGAGCAGACGCAGCGCGTCAAGTGCCCGCGATGCGGACGGGGCAGCCGAGTCTTCGTCAGCGAGGCAATCAAGAGCGTCGACAATCCGCTGTCCCAGACGCTGCCCATCGGACGCAACAACAGTACATTCCTCAGTGGAGCAGGCGGGCCGCCTCTGAAGCGCTTTTTATCGCTCGACCTCGACGAGATCAAGACCCCAACGCAAGCACCCGACTACAACTTTGCCGAGTGCACCAGTGTCATCTGCCAGTTCCGCTTTTGCGTAAACTGCCTCAGCAAGTCGCATCCCGGTGAACGTTGCCTTGTCACCGAGCTGGACACGCCCTCTAAACTAATGATGCCTCGGGAGCGGCAAACGCCGCCCCATCGTGGTCAGAATCGGGACCCCAAGATCAGGAGGAAGAACTCGCTCAAGCGACTGTGCTTTTAGCTTTAGCATAGCCTTTTATTTACGTTAGTATTCGACTTGTTCAAATCGCATCAATTCCGTATTATGTTCTCTGCGTTAAGTTCCACCAATCACATTCTCATAGTTGTTTTTAAATCGTTCACTGTAAGGTTTGCCGAAAAACTGTACCTCTGTGAGATTAGTATTTTTACATAAGCAACGAATAATAAACATTTTATAATTAGAGCTTTAAATCAGAATTGTATTACATTTATTTGGGGTGAAACTGTTCAGTGTTTATCAACTTGAGTCTTGCAAATCATTTTCTAAGACAATACACGGAAAAACCGTTTCAAATTTAAATTTTACACTATATCACAAAAATTTACGTTTGTTTGCGGTTTAAGAATCCGCTTATTCGTACATAGATGGGTCACCCCAATCATTTCGGATTTGTTTTGTTTTTACTTCTGCGGGACTTGGTCACACTGAAGCAAACACGTGTGGAGTGCGGTTGCCGCACGTTTTTATTATTTTTCGTTCGAACCGTTAAATTTCTTAAACAGAGAGGAAAAAGGCATCCAAAATGAGTACCGCGTTAGCCCAGCAGCTGCAGAAATTGTCGGCGCCGCAGTCGTCGATCACGCTGGCGGACGCCCGAAGTCGCGCCTCCGTGCTTTTCGACCCGAAGGAGGCGGCCAAAAAAGACCGGCGCTCCATCTACAACATCGGGCTGGTGGGATTGCAGGAGCTAACAGAGTTTAATCCGGCCTTTAAGGAGTTTCAACTTACGCTGTTCGACGAGGCCACACTGACGCTGGAGCGATCCGTGGAGCTGCCGGAGGTAAACAAGCTTCTGGACGCGGCCATTGCCAAGTTCCTGCGCCTGCTGTCGCCCTACCTCCTGTTACGCCCCGCCCACATGGCCTTCGAGTGGCTCCTACGTCGATTCCAAGTGCACGAGTATAATCGCAGCGAGGTGATGGCTCTTATCCTGCCCTACCACGAGACCAAGATCTTCGTCCAGATAGTGCAGACCATGCGACTGCGGTCCCCCGATGGCGACTGGTACTGGCTACGCCGACTGCAGCGACCTGGCGTCCCACTGGCCAAGACGGCGATCATTAACAGGGCCGCCAGCAACCCCGCCTTTCTCGGCTTCGTCTGCAAGAGCACCCAGAAGGCCGTCAAGGAATTAGGTCCACGGGCCCATCAATTGCAGGCGCAGATCAACTTCTACGCCACCGTCGTTGTGGGCGCCCTGCAAACGGCAAAGCCCCTGCAGGATTGGCACATTACCACCATCCTTGAGTCGCTGCTCAAGGGTCTGGTGTCAGACACCATCGACTTCATGGCCGCCGCCTATGTAATCGTTGCCCAGCTGGTCTCCCGCACCAAGCTAAAAAGCAAGGTGTGCAACGCTTTGCTAGAACGTGTTGCCAACTGTCCGTTCGAAAGGCTCCACAGTGAGTCCCTGCTCCTGCTCATCTGTATCTACGGCAAGCAGCAGGCCGCAGTGCCGCAATTTAAGCCAGAGACTGTCCTCAATCTGGTGGGGCAGAAGTGGCTTATTTCAACGCTGGCCTCTCTGGTCAAGGGCAACATCGCCATCGAGTCCATCTGCATGCCACTCATGACGGGCGCCGTTGTCGCCATTAGGGAGGAGAACGCCGCCTCGAACTCGTGCAAACAGTTCTTGGACAATCTGCTTTCGGATGTACCATTAGCAACGCCGACTGCCCAGCAAATAATCAAGTGAGTTATTATAATTACCCTCCATTTTTATTGGTTTAAGCAAATAGATTTATTAGATTTATTTTACTTAACTATTCTAAACCTACTTTAATCTTGTTTATGTGGTTATTACATTTTTTTTTTAATGTCGTATTCTTTTACCTTTATTTAAGTTGTTTTTTGGATACTTTTGTGGACACGGAAATCGATGCACCTGAGCCTATGGATACAGGTATAAACGATGAAGACGATACCATCGTAATTGATTCTGATGATGAGGCAGACCAAGAGAAGACCAGCTTTCAGACCTGGTACTCTGGTTACCTCGAAAAACTAGAAAGACGTTATCCGGAAGCCTTCGACCTAAGCGTCAAGGAGGCATTAAGGACCAAATCCACCACAAGTAATCGTAAAAAGGCTCTAAAGTTGGCTCTTGGTAAGTGATTTATATAGTTCCACCAGAACCCAATTATTAAGTTCTCACATCGTTGTAGGTTTTCGTCTCAATACCTTGGATGAAAAGGCAAAGCACGCGTACGAGAAACTCTATCATTACAGTGCAGACTGGCGACTAAATGCTGTTCAGCAGCTGCTCAAAAACCTCCAGGTGTCCAAGAAGCGGGAGCGAAGCGTAAAACTTCTGCACGAGTGTTTGCCCGACAGGATCAATGATGACAGTGGAGCTATTGTGGCGGCCGTTTTGTCGGTGCCGACTGAGGAGCTGGCCGAGATGTTGGGTGCTCTGCCCCTAGCCAAAACCCTATGCCGTTTGCTTCACAGAGCACAATCCGAAAAGGACCCGGAATGGCAGCCCGTGGTTCCGTTGGCCGTCACCCACTTGACCTCGGCCCTGGTTAGTGGTTACTATGACCATAATCTGGTGTTGCTGGCGCTGATGCCATTGCTCTTCCCTGGCGAAAGTCTGGCAGAGCACGAGCACAAGGCTCTTACAATTCTGTTGAGCAGTGACTTTGCTGGTAAAGTGCCGTTCCTGGCAGAACTGAAAGTGAGCAGTGAGTTTAGCGATTTCAAAGCCAACGAGCATCGTCAGCACTTTTTGGATGTAATTGCGAGCAGCAGTCAAGAGCTCGACAGTCAAGAACGGGCGCTGCTACAAAGTGTGGAGGATCACGGCGGGGAAGCTTACATACAGGAGGCCTCCCAGCTGACCCATCTTCTGCTTCTTTTGACCGCCTACGCCAAGAGGGAACTGCAAGCGCAGGAATGCCTGCACATGTTGGAGAAAATCGTGCTATACGGTCGACGCATCCATTTCCGGGTGGCCAAGGGTCAACGTGATTCGCAAAACTTCGTCCCTCTCCAATTGTATGTGGATTTCCTTTTGACTTTGGTAAAGAACACCAAATGGACATCCTTGGACACGACACCGTGGAATCAATTGACAGATGAACTTCGTCTTTGTCTGCGCCTACTGGAGATAATATGCGCCCAAGTCTTCTCGGAGAAGACTGACCATCCCGAGCGAAACGAGTGGACGCGAGCCCTGCAGCAAAGTCTGCAAATAATGCTGCCCGAGCCTCAAGCACGGCTTGAACTGCTGTCCAACTTCTATGTCTTTGAACGATTGCCGGAATTGTGGCCTCGGGACTCGGATTACGCCGTGTTTCGGTTGCAGGGCTTCCTGTTGCTAGAGGCAGTGCTGTCGAACCCGAAATCGCAACTAAACTGCAGCCTGGTTCATGTGCTGCGAGTGGCCAATGCCTGCGGATCGCCCCTTCAAACTCTGCGAGTGCAGGCCATCAACACTCTGCAATTGATGAGCAGCCGCAAACTGGTGTCCCATGTGGAGCAATTCGTGCGATCACTGCTGCAGCGCAAGAGCGAGCTGGGAATGGACCACGAGCAATATGCTCTGATCCTGTACACCATTCTGGAGCCGGAAAAGGCCACTGCCAAGGAGAAACTGGTGCTGTCCAAGCTGAGAAGATCTGTTTTGTCATTGGCCTCCGATCCCGAGCAGCCGCCCATTTGCACCGCAGCTTTGTTGGCGGCCCTTAAGCACGTCAACGATGAGAGCTTCTTGAACGATTTAATACCCCTGGGTCTCGAGTCTCTTAAGAAGATCGCCGCCGACGAGGGCATCCAGCACTTGAAACAGCTGCCGTGGCCGCACAGCGAAATCTACAAGTCGGTGATCGAGAAATTCGAGGGACGAGTGGGGCTGAACGTTCTTCTTCGCAAGGATTTGGCCTGGCAGCTGTTCGAGGAGAGTTTCGCCCACCATGACGCTTATGTGCAGCTGGAGCAGAAGCTTCAGCCGTTGCCCTGCGTCCTCCTGAACAGCCTCACTCCTGAGACCTTTGAGCAAATGCAGCCCAAGCACAAGGTGGCTTTGATCAAGTTGATAGTGGAGGCGTCCACTTACTCGGACAACGATAGCATCTTCCTGGCCAGCCATAGGTTGCTGAAGCGCTGCCGACTGGAGTGCAGACCCCTCGTGGCAATACTGTCGGACATGGCCAACAGCAAGGTGCCGCAGCAGCCTGCCCCCAAGCGACGCAGCGTGGTGACCACCCAACTGGACCTAACCAACCTTAACTGGAAGCGGGGAATGACTCTCCTCGAGCTGCTGGAGCACAAGAAGCAGCTGGTCGAAGCGGAGTTGCTGATTCCACCGCTGTTCGAACTCCTGGCGGCCTGCTTAACGTTGGAGGACCACAGCGCCGTCGAGTATCCCAAGCAGCTGATCCTCTCGAGCTTGCTGCACTGCTGTCAGACGGCCCAGGCTGCCGGCGTGCAGTTGGTCAATGTCCTGCCCGAGTCCTGCTTCCGCATCGAGCTGGTGGTTCAGTGCCTGCGGAACACGCGCAACCCGCAGACCCAGCAACACGCCCTGCTCTTCCTGACCCACTGCGCCGGCATGTATCCGCAGCAGGTGCTGCACAAGATCGTCGAGATCTTCACCTTCGTGGGATCCACGGTGGCGCGCCACGACGACGCCTTCAGCCTGCACATCATCCACAATGTGGTGGAGTCGATCATACCCATCCTGCTGCTGAAGACGGGACACAGGGCGCTGGTTATTCCCGTGCTCAAGGTGTTTGCCGATATCTGTGCGGATGTGCCGGTGCATCGGAGGTTGCCCCTCTACGCTACTCTGTTCCGCGTGCTGGAGCCCAAGGAGCATCTCTGGCAGTTCCTGTGCATAGTGTTCGAATCGCAGGTGCTTCTGGAGCAAAGCTCTCCGAAGGTTTCCTCAGACAAATCGCGACTGGACTTCGCTCGCGAGCTAACGCTGATGTTCGAGGACCCGACGGTCGGCTTGCAGACCTGCATCCGTCTGTTGGAGTACCAGGCCAAGTTGCCGATAAACAAGAGCGGACCTTCGGGGAAAACCAGCAGCCCGGCTTTCTCCACGGAACAGCAGCTCTTCGATGTAGGAACCCGAACGTTCAAGCAGCTGCGCCACTACAGGTACCTCATCATGGACTTCCTGTCTGGAATCAGCAGCTGCAACGAGTGGCAGGCGAAGATGAAGCGGCCCGATCCCACAGAGCTATTGCCGTACTATCAGGATCTTATCCTCAAGACGCTCGCGTACGTGGGCATTGTGAATGAAGCCTTGGAAGCAGCTTCCGAAACGCCCTCGCTCGAGAAGTACTGGCGGGTACTGGGTAACCATGCCCACGATGTTCTGGACAACGCCATCGGGCTGCTGGCCCCGGAACACTTCCTCACCGTGATCACCGAGCTACTGCAGCACGACCTTGTGTATGTGCGCATCAAGGTGTTGGAGTTGTTGGTGACTAAGTTGAACCCCACAAACGACTACTTTGAGGACTGCGCGGCGAAGCACTTTGCAGTTCTTTTCGCGCCGTTACAGGACATTATCAATGGAATCCTGGAGTCAGGCGGCAGCAGTGCACAGCAGGCGAAGCTGCAACAAACCGCTCTGCACGCTCTCCAGCTCTTGGCCCTCCGCCACGGTCGGGAGTTTATCGAGGAATGCCGCTCCTTGTTGGCCATCCTGACCAAGATCACTAAGAAGCGAGCCAACGTGCCCAAGGCAGTGGTAGGCAACGTGGTGCTGACCCTCGTCGAGATCTGTGCGAGTCTCAAGGCCCACGCTTTGGCCCAGCTGCCCAAATTCGCGCCCCAACTTACGGAGCTTCTCAAGGAGCAGGTTCACCAGATGGCCACGCTTAAACAGGGACCGGACTACCTCTGCTCCACCCTGGTCACTGGTAAGTCTTATTAATTAATATATTGATAAAATCTTTCGCCGTTAAATTCAGATTTCAATTATATGAAGAATCATAAAAAAATATCATATCAAAAATATTACCAATCCTTGCTTCCAAGAATGAAAACCTAAATGAATAGTTAATCATTTTGTAACTTTGCTTTCCCATTAAAACTATATTTTTATTAAACTTAAAATTGTTCCCTATCAGATAAGATTGTCTCTTTATCCAACTAACTTTTTTTATTTTTCTTTTTTAGCTCTGCACAAACTCTTCAAGGCCTTGCCGCTTTTCCTGGGACCCTACTTGGTAGACATCCTCGCAGGCTTGTCACGGCTCTCGGTGCAACTGGACAGTCCGCTGCTGTTGCAGGACAAACGTGCACAGGCGCTAAAGCAGCGGCTCGCTGAGGTGTGGGCTGCGGTGGCCCAGGGCGTGGAGGTGCGCATCCTCGTTCCCAGCTGCTCAAAGACCTTCTCCAGCCTGCTGGAGCAACAAGCCTACGATGAGTTGGGCCATCTGATGCAGCAGCTGCTGCTGCAGAGCATCCGGCACAATGCAGCGGCTCAATTGCAGGCGGTGCAGGATCCCCTCAGTGAGTTGTTCCTGCAGGCGCTGGACTTCCGGCTGCAGGTGCGTGGTCGTGGCTTGCAGAGGCAACTCGTGTCGGATGTGGAGTCCGCTATCGCCGAGACCTTTGTGACATGGATCCTAAAACTGTCCGAGACGAGCTTCCGGCCCATGTACGCTCGGGTGCACAAGTGGGCGTTGGAGAACAGTTCCAGGGAAACGCGGCTCACCTACTTCCTGCTGACCAACCGAATCGCCGAGGCCCTCAAGTCGCTGTTTGTGCTGTTTGCCAGCGAGTTTGTCGAAGATGCCTCTCGCTTGCTGGCGGAGCACAATACCCTCAGTCCAAAGTTCGAGGCCGGCGATCCGGAAGATGATGTGGAGCTGCTGACCGCCATCCTAAACACTCTGCATCATGTGTTCTTGTACTGCAGCGAGGACTTCGTCAACGAGCATCGCTTCAACGCGCTGATGCCGCCGCTGGTTAACCAGTTGGAGAACGACCTGGTCCTGGGTAGTGAGCCACTGCACCAGGTGCTCAGCAATACCATCGCCCAGCTGGCGGTGGCCACCAACGATGTGATGTGGAAGCAGCTCAACAGCCAAGTGCTCCTCAAGACCCGCACGCCGACACCTGAGGTGCGCATTCTGGCCTTCAACAGCTGCGTGGCCATAGCTCGCAAGCTGGGCGAGAGTTACGCCCCCTTGTTGCCGGAAACGGTTCCCTTCATCGCCGAGCTGCTGGAGGACGAACACCAGCGGGTGGAGAAGAACACTCGCAGTGCGGTGCAGGAGTTGGAGACCATTCTGGGCGAGCCAGTGCAAAAGTATCTATAATGTGGAATCCATTGTCCAACTGTTATTCTCTGCAAATGTAATATACAATCGAACGGGCATAAATATGTTATTGCTTCAAATAATAAAAAAATGTATTTTACTCTTGGCGTTTTTTAAAACAATATTTATGTTATTGAACACATTTATAAAAGCATTGTCAATTCATCAGTACGTCTCCTTCGGCTTAACTTCAAACCTTAACTGGAGTCGGTGATGTTATTCTTTTTGTTTTATCCTGCGGGCTTATAATTTCTTATCTAGAATATGATAGGTTTTATGTTGTATTAAATCTGAAAAAAAGTAAAGAGTGTAAATAATTAACTGTACTTGAGGCGAATGAACAATAACCATCCGGTTTTCTTACTATAAGTTATTTATTTGCCAAGCTTCTCCCCATCGACTTGGGCGCAAAATGTTCCTAATTTCCGTTTGGTTTTTATATTCATATCTTCTTTGAAAGCATGCTGTACTTTCAATGATTTTATTATTAGAATTAAGTAATAGGAAAAGTGGTTGTGCTTATCTTAATTATTTATTTCGGAATGCAGGGTCCGCTTAAACTAGTGTACAATAGGAAAACAATCAACATTATTCTTGACACAAGTCGAGCAAAAGGAGGGCGAGGAGAACTATGTGTTGTAGGTGTAGGAGATGGTGGGGATGTGGGCGTTGGTGAGCGTGTTGTCGTGCGTCTCCTTGTCCTCGGGGATCTCGGGATCCTCGCGCTCCTCCTCCTCGTCGATGATGCTGATGTCGCGGATGGACGGCCGGTGGCTGCGTCGCCAGCCGCTGAGATCCTGCGGCTGTTTGGTCTTGGTCAGGAGCTTGGTGCCCGTCACCGAGATCAGGATCGCTCCGAGCGGAGCGGTCAGGACGATGCTGAACACGCAGATCGTCTGCACGATGTTCGCCCAGTTGCGCTCCTCGTCCGTGGAGTCGTCACCGAGGTGCTTCAGGGCCACTGGACCGAGGGCCGCCTGCACCGTGGCCTTGGCCATCCACGACAGGCCGACGAAGAACTTCTCCTTGGTGTTCAGCCGATCCCCGAAGGCAATGCCCGCCGTGGTGAAGATGCGCAGGATGGCGCCCGTGAAGATGCAGGCCGCTCCAATGGACACCGTGTGCGAGTCCAGCTCGCGAATCTTGACGGTGGCCCCGGTCAGGCCGAACAGGATCGGCTCGAAGATCATCCAGAAGATCTCGAAGGCGGTGGACACCGGGTTGTCCTCCACGTCCCAGCCGTCCTTGCACCAGAACAGGTTCGACACGAAGGCCGAGAAGACGACGGCCAGGGGTCCGGCGCCCTCGAAGCCCAGCTCCTCGCTGCCGTAGATGGCCATCAGGCCGCCGGTGAAGAGCAGCAGCGTCCGCAGCGGCACCACGTACGCGTCACCCTTCTCCGGAAAGATGCGGGCCAGCGAACCCCAGATGACGCCGAATCCCAGTCCGCCCAGGATGCAAACCGGAGCCTGGGCGATCTGGTAGGCCAGCCCCTTGTCGGAGAACATCACCGTGCTGATGATGCCGAAAATGGCCACCGACAGGGCGTCGTCCACTCCAGCCACGGCCACCACCAGCGTGGGAATGCCCTTGGCCACGCCGTAGCCCTTGGTCCGCAGCCGGAAAAGGCAGGGCACCACCACAGCCGGAGACACCGCCGCGATGATCGAGCCCAGCAGGAAGGCCCAGATCCAGGGCAGGTCCAGCAGGAAGTGCGACATCACGGCCATCACCACCGCCTCCACGCACCACGGGATGATGCCCAGCTTCAGGATCGTCTTGTACACCTTCTTGAAGGCCTCCGGCTCCATTTCGAGGCCAGCTCGAGTCAGGATTATGGTCAGCGCGAACTTGCGCAGGTGCGCCGTCACCTTCGAGAAGTCCCCATCGATATTCGCCCAGCCAACGTTCTGGAAAAAGAGAAATCCAGAAAAGGAGTTATTAGTTCACGTTTAGATACAAAGATATACAAATTAAATTTCAAAATTTTAAATTTGCTGAGATTATTTGATAACTTTAAAAGGGTTTTATTATATGTTATTATTTACAAATGTATTTTGTGCTCACCTGGAAGAGAATGCCCACCAAGAGCATTCCAATTAGACGCGGCAAGGTGGTCAGCGATATCAGGTAGCCACCAAAGTTTGCGGCCACAGTGAGGACGACCAGGCCGAAGAGCTGTCCTCCAGGGGCAGCTGAGTCGCCGATGATCACAAAGGCCGTGACCCAGATAAGGACACCTGTAAATCAATTAAAAGGTTTTGCATTTATAAATTATAGCCATACATACAAACAATAGTCTAACCAATCAAATATGAAGCATTTTATTCTAACAAATCGTCAGTAACGAAAGATTGGGTATTTAATTCTTGAATTAGATTATCAGACTGTTTATAATTATTTTATAGGGAAATCCCCATCAGTTTTGTAAAAACACATTTGGGTACTTGACTTAGTTATTTGGTTACTTATTTTCCTTTTCTAAGAAGTCAACAGTCCCGGAAGCTAAGTATGTTTGAGTGGGTATTTTCTATCACTGAAGTAGATTATCGGACCGATTATAGTTATTTTGTATTAAAAAACCCAATGGCTCAATAAAATTTTATGTCGCCACTTGAATGATTTACAAACTTCTCATTAATTTGCTTGTAATCTTAGTTTGAATAACGAACCAAAGTTTCTGAGATTAAAGAGATTACTTTTAGGATAATATTTTTATCAAAAAAGGAAACTTAACCAAATGAATCGAACCTTACACCAATCCCACTGTGAACTTACCAATTAGAATAATTGAAATCAGGCGGGACACCGTCCTGAAGGTGGGACAGAGCGGGTAGGGGAAGATCTTCTGCCAGAAGGGCGGCTCCCAGGACGAGGAGGGCTCCTCGCCGCGGCACTTGAGGCAGAAGGTGTACATCCAGGACTCCTCCACGTAGTTGGCTCCGCCATTGCTGTCGCCACCGGAAGTGTTTCCCATCTGGTGGCCATTGTACTTCGCGTTGAGCACGTCCAGCGCATTCTGTCGATAGTTTTCTGCAATACGAAATGGTTACAATCCACTTATGAATGAATCGAACTGCTTTGGTGAGTACGCAGTCTAACAGACCAGCGGAAAATTATCTCGTCAGTCATCATGGATCTCTAATTAGGTGATAACCATCAAGTCGAAGGGGAGTACGTCAGAGGCAAGACCTACGCAATAATATTGGGATTCGGTAGAGAGCCAACTCCCCCCGCCTCGCTAATTGATAATGTAAATTGGAAATGGAAATAGACGCAGAGGCACAGCCCCTAATCAAACAGTCGGTTGAACTTGAGATATTTGCATTTTTCAACTGACTAAATCAAGCCGCAAACTCAACGAGACCGTGACATTGGTCTCCTAATAGGAAACTTCCTACCATATTTAACCCAAAACATTATTATTACGCCTAATACGTGTTAAAATCTCAGTGAATCAAACGTGTAATTGAGCCCAATTTATAAATTAAATGCTACATGCGCATATTACAGATTTTTTATTTACCACAAGATAATTAATTGGCACTCGAATGTTAAATTTCAACGTAATTTAAAGCCAACGGTTTTCCCATTATTAAGTATGCTTCATATTTTTTTATTCACATGTAAGCACTTGAACATAAAATTCCTCTTTTATGCGCCACTCACAATCAGTTTATTTCGCTTTTGATGGGAGTCCCAAACTTTTTATAATGTTTACTTATTAGTTCGCTGGCACTTTAAAAGTTTCGTTACTTTATACATTTTTATTGAATTTATCAAAGTAAAAACGAAAATATCGTAAATTTAGTAACAGCTCAAAAAGAAATTAAAAGTGTGCGACTTTTATTCTTTAAGCCTTTCGTTTAAGTTTAAAAAGACATTTTTGCACGTTTTAAAAAGAATTTATTGGTTTTTGTGGCGCCTGTGATTGAGTTTATTAAACGTGTCTGTTGCTGAAATACACAATTGCACACCTAAAAACTGAGCATTTACGCCGCAGACTGAATAAGAAATATTTTCAACAAAGGTAAATAAAAGTTTACGGGTGCCAATATTCTACAGCTATATCTTCATTAAGTTAAGTAATTTCAAGAAATTATCCATGAAATATAAAACATTCCCTTTCCTTTTCCCAAAAAGAAGCAATATGTAAGCTTAATTTCTAAGTGCCTATTTAAGCTTTTTGATAAGTGTTTCTTTACTTACCATAGCTGTGGGTTGAGGCCCGGTCACTATCGTTGTCATGGGGCACTGGCTCCTTGAGGATGCTCTTCCTTCGCGCCGGCCCAATATCCGAGTGCGAGTGTGTGGAAGTCTGCGGTGTTGACAAAAATCAGAGTTATTTAACCCGAACGACAGACCGTTATCGTTAACACAAGTTCGAAGCGTTCGCCCCGTATATATATTTTCATTACGAGATTATACGAGCGGAGCACAAAAAATCCGTTTTATTACGTACGTATTTGCCGAAACAATCGCAATCGGTAGCGACTAATGAATTCCGACAGCACACTCACCTGTGAAATTTTACGCCTCGGGTTCTGTTCGTAGGCGGGATTATCGTATCCGGCACCGAGACCTCCAGTTCCGGCGATCACCGGCGGATCGGAGATAATGCTGACCCGCCGCTTCGGCTGACTTTCGATGACGATGGTGCTCTTGTGGTTGCCACTGCCATTCGAATTGGGCATGGGCACATCGCTGGGCACTGGGATCGGGCTTGGAGCGATAACGCTGGTGGGGGTGGTGATGGTCGTCGGACCTCCGCCGACGGAGGAATCCTCGCGAGCTCCTGGCTCTCCCGTGGCCGTCATCGTCTTGTGGCTCTGGCGGAACGAATTTTATGATCAGTTATCTTAACTTGTCCGAGGGTTTTATGGCCGAATTAATGGCGGTTGGGCTTACACTAAACATCTGACGGCGTCGCGAATCGAAAGTATAAAAATATTAATCAGCGATACGCGAGTTTTTACAACTATCTCGTTCGACGTTTAGCAATGAAATAAATTCATTACCACGCGGTGGCAATCCGCCAGCTGCAGGTGCACACACACAGTCCCTCACACACACCTGCCGTGCTACACTGACAGAAATGGCGAGGCGCTAATTGGAAGCCCAAACAGTGGCTTATCAATCTTGGGGAGGGGAATATACATATGTAGTGCTTTAAAAGGTGAAAATAACTTTTTCCGCTAAATAAACCTATTTATTTATTAGGCAAAAAACGAACTACATTGCTTTATTACTCGCATAAAAAAACAAGTTCTTTTTTATATAACCTAAATATATATTGATTACTGCTCTTTATTGCTTTAAAGTTATAATGAAAAACAAACAAACACTTTTTTACTTTTAACTACTGTTTAGATCACTTTGTTCCCTCCAGCTTGTCAAACAGATTTTTTCTAGGCGAACTTAAAATCTAGTTAATTAGGTAAGTTTATTGAGGTAAAAACAAAAAAGATTTCTAAATTAGGTATGATTTATAGTTAATGTAAGGCCCCTTTTAAAGCAGCCCACCCATTAAACAATAAATTAAAGTCTCCCGTAACATTCCTTCATTTTTCCCAGTGCCAATGTGAACTTGCGAATCGTTAAAGAGTAACGTAAATATTAAATAAATATTGTAAAAACTTCTAAAAACCTCAATAAAAATTAACAGCAATTAGCTTTAATTATATCACCCGGCCCGAAAGGGACACATGATATACACTGAGATATGGATGTGTACACATATCTCTTCCTATGAATATGTAAAAACCTGGTCGGTTCTCGCTTTGATGACCAAGAAGTTTTTTAGCCATTTGTTTGACGTTCAATTATGACGCGTTTTATCTAAATAAATTCACGTGAGCTCGGCTTAATTTCTGTCTCTTTTCCTCCCCTTTTTGTTTTCAAGCGGCGCGTCGAGACGTCTCGAAATAATGAGGCTGAATTGATTATTTTATACGTTCTGTGATTATTTGTTTTTCGGGGCTTTCCGTTGCTTTTGCTATTTTTTGTTTCTGCGGCGAGGAGAACAAAATGTGACACCAAGTCATGCGGTTCGTTAGCTGAAATCAAACAAAGCCACAGGCATGTCGGTTGCCTGGCTAAATGTTGATCTAAAATTTCTTTCCCCCTGAAGCAGAGTTGTTCAAAGTTGCGTTATTCAATCCGCTAATTTATGGCTCACACAAAAGCCAGCAGCAAATAGCAGTTGACAAGTCTGCCCGAAATGCGAAAAATTGATTTAGGAACTAGTGATGAAAACACCTTGAAGGGGTGAAGAAACTTCGATATTATAATATAACGCGCTATTCAATCGCAATGATCTTATTCACTGCAATTACTTTGTCGTTAAACAACGGGCAGCATATTGACTTTATTCACGCTCTGATTAGAGCACTAAATATAGACATTGGCGGGAGGACAGCAGCCGATATCAGGAAGGTTGGGGAAGGAAAAGGTCTATTTGCAATCACAACTGCATAATTGGCCAGCCACGCTCAATGTTTTCAATTTTCACCTCTAATTAGCGCCGCCGATCCAACAAAAGTCTGCTGTTGATATGAGTAATTTGCTGTGAAAAATTGTTTTAGACAATATTTATGCTTGGACAGTCACCTCAGGAGCGAGTGCCGCAGGCTTTCCGGTCTTCGGTCTTCGGTCTTCGGTCTCCATCTCAATCTCAATCTTAATCCGAAGCGATGTCTGAAAACTCGAGTGACTCTGTTTTCTTATACATTTCGGTTTTTGGGGGCTTGGGGCTCTAATTGACGCGTGTCTGGTCGCATACAGACCCGAGTTGAGTTGACAAACTTTTCGACACATCATCATCATTATTATAATCATCATCATCGGCATATCATCGTCACGTGCTATCATGCGAACAAATGGCGAACAAAGCGACTTAATTAGCATTCGTGTGTCATCTGTTGGGGTTTAAGCTATATAAGCAAATATATCTGGCTATATAGCCGTAAGTGTGCGCCAATAGGCTAAGGTTTGTGCCCATCTACAGGTCATCTGTAGGGTGAATAACTCGGGGAAGTCCTCGGCTAGGCTTTTAATTCACGAATTAAGGTTTTAATTGACTTTTAGTGGCGTTGCAGTTTTAATGGGCCATACACAATCGCTTTATTAATTGTACACATCCTAATTATCCTAATAAAACAAATATATACCTATTTCAGTCAAACGTGACAATCAAAACACAAATAATTTATTTTACAAATAATTTTGTAAAAAAAAGCGGAAGAAAATTCTTAACAATAACAAGAAAAATGGTTCTTAGTTGAATTAAATTAATATTTTTATAGCGCAGGGCTTTGGAGAATAATAATAATTTATGCAAAATTTATTTCTCTTTTGGATGGTAGCTAAGAAATTAATTAAAAACACTTTTTTTACCATTGCTTATAATCCTATTTCTGTTACAACTTAGCTTCACATTACACAATATTTCTTTTTTACAACACACGTCTAAATCGTTATAAATCATTAAAACCTTAAGTAAAAGCATACAATTTTTCCGGCCTACAAAACTCTTTGATTGCTGTTTAAGGTTTCCTGTAACCCTTGAAGCCCTTGTAGATTATTTTTGCATTCAGATTCGCTTTCATCAGATTTGCCGCTCTTTGACCTTGCCGGAGGTTGCCCCCTGCCCCTCCCCCTCCCTTCCCCTCTCTCCGGCTACCCCACCTCCTCTTGCACCCACTCCAAAAAGCGTTTTGCATTGCCATCGAATGAACAACAACGGGGAATGATTCTACGTGACATGTTTGCCTGATCGGATTGGCCGAAACATAAGCAAATTCGATGTAGTTAGTTAGCCTGGGTCAGCTGGCTGAAGTGGTTGTTGGCCAGTTGGAGAGTCGGACAGTCGGATAACTGGTCAGGGCCCGAATTGCTTTGCGCGAGCATTGCCAAGCCGCTTTTGGCCCAAAAGGTTTTCCTTTGAGCGCTTCGAGCCCCATTGCACAACGGTCACAGCCAAATGAGGGCCGAAATCATTTACATTTTACACCGATTTTGAAATAACGTCGGCTCCCAATGGGCAGCGAAAGTTGAAGAAGTTTGGAGGTGGCTTAGTATCAGCTACCGGTGACGTGTTTCACTTTTCAACTTGACCAGACAAGAAACGCACTTGTGTTCTTCGAATTCGCTTTTCTAATTGGCCAGTTCGTTGTTCTATTGCCATTAAATTAATCTAATCGATCGCTCGCACTGAGCGTTGTCTACGAAACTGCTCAACAATAGATAATCAGTACAGATAATAAGTTTCGCATTCTTACACAATTAATCCCCTAAGCACTTGAGCTCAGGGAGCGTGTAATTTTTGAGAACAATTCACTTGAATCACTAGAGATTCAAATGGAGGGTATATTTTGTTGGCTATTCCTACGGATTGTTATCACGGAGAGTCACATGTGGACGTCAAGCAGATGTGATGATATTGGACACTTGGCTAATCTCCATTGGGCTTTTTCCGGTTACGATTAGCCAGTAGTAGGGCTCTGTTGTTAAACAAAACAATTCTTATAAACAAAACAATTCTTATAAACAAAACAATTCTTATAAATTTAATTATTATCTGATAAATGCTTGCTTGATTTTTTGTGTTGCCATTATTGGTTTTCACGCCAGATTTTTTTTACGGACTCTGTTGTTAAAGTTTTCTATCAAGATTGATAAACTAAACAATTCTTATAAATTTAATTTTTATGTTATAAGTGCTTGCTTGATTTTTTTTGTTGTCATTATTGCCAAAATTGTTGTTAAGCTTACTGAAAAAATAAATTATACAAGAGATTTACATATATCAGCTATAATAATGTTTTTATTTAATCAAATATAAGCACATAAGTTTGTTTTTAATAAAATGTTCTTCGGCAATAGCCTATCAAGCTGTGTGGAAATTATAAATCTGTTCTTTAACTTTCGTTATATCTTTTTGACAACACATATTAAAACTTTTATGGATTTACAACAAAGTGTTTTTTATAATAGGAATATTTCGAGAAACAATAAGATATCGGTTAAATTGCTTGATGAGGCAAATGATTAAAGTTCGAAGCACTCTTAATTGAGTATCAATAAAACAGAGTTTTTACTGCTCAATGGTTCCTGACTGTACAACTTCAAATTGACGTCAAGGAAGAAGTTTTTGCTGCGAAGTACCAATCAACTGTTAAATTAAAAGGCTCTCTGTGAAAACAGGCACTAAATAAAAGACTATTCGTTGGGAAATTTAAAGAGAATTCTTTAAATAGAGCTCGATTGAAGTTATCAAGTGCTAGATGCCATCTTTTATTGCACCCGGATTTCATTGGAGCCATTCGGGGCCAACCTTTCACAAAGTTATCTTTGGTTGTATATTTGCATTAATTTATTGCAAATATAAAAGACTTTTCAATGATTGATCGCAGCATGTAGAAAATCCGTACAATATAATATGTTCGCGGCTTATCTGACAAACGCGGCCGATAGGAAAGGGCGCTATATAGAAAAAGATTTAGCCATAAAGATGAAATCGTGAAAAAAGGAAAATAAAAATCCACCGAGCACTCGAGTGAGCCGATCATAAAAATCGAAGGCACCACGATTGTTCGGCTATTGTTCGGTGGATCGATAAGGGAGAAGGTGGGGCGGGGACCCCTTATCGTTCCGCCGGATGAGTTAATTGGCTTGTATTGCCCTACTACCCCAACTACCGTGTGGCCAAGTGTGAATTGTGATTGATTCCGAATGCTAAATACGCAGACTGGATCGGGTCCCCTTTAAATTGGCTTCACGATTGCGATCCGATCGCGAAATATGTGTGATTACTCCACTTACGAGTGTTTCATTAACAAACCCACTCCACTCGAATATCAATCAGCCGTGAATGTTATTTCTATATGATCGGATTCGGTTTCGGTTTCGGTTTCATTTTCTTTGGGATTTTGGCTGAGCTCAGGTGCTTTTCTGTGGGGTTTATCTCCCTCAATTGCGGGAATTGTTTATTAAAACATTATCAATATCTGTAATCCCCAGTCGGATCCACTTCACTCTGTTCTACACTCGTTTCGTCTGGCTTCGGCCTTTGTCATTAGTTGCGTTGACAACTGCTAATTGTGGTAAGTGTTTATTGGCCCAATTTTCGAGGCATGAGATAAGATTCGCTCTGGGTTTCGGTTTTAATTATGCATGTAGTTCCTTTACATTTAGTATAGCCGTCTTATCGCAGGTCTCTTTGTGGAACTTCCTCCAGCTATCTAAGCCGCACAAATTACCAACCTTATGACGAGTATTTTGGAGATGTTTTGGTTGGATCTTACGCATAAAATTGCTATTTATATGAAACCATAAAAATTACTTTCTGGCGTGCGGTGTGGTTTGATCTACATCAAATATTAATGTAATAAATGCACAGAGAGAAATATTTAAATCTTTTTGATTTAAAAAGTGTTCAATCATTGAATAGCGTAATACAAAAAAAGGTAAATAATAGTTTTATTTTTGATAAATCCAAATAAAATACCATGTATTAACACGAATCTATTTAAATATTTAGAAGTGCCTAATAACATATTTTCAACGAAGTAAACATTTTTTTATTGTTCAATTTCTTTTCCCGTTTTAATATATATATATTTAATATATGTATGTATATATTATTATAAAACAGAATACCACGAAGTACTTCCTACGCGCTGCGTAGTTTTTTCATTCTTATTTCCAATTCATTGTTTCTTAATATCGTACAAATTAATACGTTCTGAAACCCGTTCACTGCGTACATTAATTGCTTAACCCGCTTGAGGTACCCGATAAATAACATTTTAAATTATGATACAATTGGTAGCACTGCAAATTGATTTTCCTCATGCAATAAAATATTCTTATGCATTCATTTCAAGTTCATTAAGAAATCATTCACATTTCATTAATTTCGGCCAATATGCAAATGCGCAGCAAACCGAAAAAAAGTGAAATATAATATATGAACCAAATTAATAACTGCTCAAATTCGAATGCGGGCGTTTTAATCATAAGCGGGGGCAATTTGCATTTGCACCGGTGGCTGCCTTTGCATTTAATTGGTGTCCCGAAAAAACACGTACGGCCAGAAATGCGAATTATGTAAAGTATTTACTTTATTACAGCCACTGAACTTGAAGGTGGCAGTAAGCTGGAATCGGCGGCGGGGGAACCTACTTTGTATTCACACGGCGGGCAGGAAATTAGACAACTTTCGTTGATGTCTCAAATCTCTTGGCACTTTGTCACTTTTCGTTGTTCTCGGCTTCTTCACTTTTCTCGGCAGAGTGAAGAGTGGGAGTTGTCGATTAATTAGGACTCAGAAGTCGTTCTGCGGAAACTTTTGCTTTCATATTCACACAACGCGATCCATGGAAACGAGTACTCCCAAACGAAGACGATGCGCAACCTGCTTAAAAACACGACTAAATCGCTGCAAATTCCTGCGAGCGTTTTATAGCCACACACACGTTTGTCAGCACAATCGAAAGAATTGAATTGGATCCGCTCTCTTACGTGTATTTGCTCAGTCACTCACTCTCCGATTCCCGAAGAGCAGCCCGAAGTTATATCGCTGTAAGTCTTTTCTTTATCTTCTTGCGCGATCCACCCACCTGAAAATGAAGGTGGGCCAAAGCCCGCTACTTGGATAGGGCGTAAATCAAGGAGATCGGTAGCCAATAGTGTAAGCCAGCCGTATTTCTACGGCTACCGCATGGCAATATCTTCAACCGATGGCCCTCCAGGTATACGACCCATAAAATGGTCAACAAAATAATTTCCTCGTCGCTTCCCAAGCCACTTGACGAACGGCTTTGGCTATAAATTCAATCTATCACAGTGGTCGGACTTTCAGAATTTACTATGGCGAATGCAATGCCATAACACTACTTGGCGGTGTGAAAATACATTATTTATATGGCCCAATATATGACACGAAAAAGTATGCAATAAATAATGATTGATGACCCGAGATAAAGTTTGGTTTTTCTTTAATTAGTCAGTCTTGAAGCGTTCAATCAATCGAAAATCGAAAGCGTTTGATGGTTTTATGGCCCGGCTAATCAATTCACATTGATATGGTCGCGACTTTATGTTTGCCTATCAATTGATCAACTTTAGAGGGGATTTGGTAATTGAGACACATTGAATCCGGCGCGGAAGCAGGTATATTTGTTAATTGACGCTCTAATTGAAATAACTTTTTAGTGTTCGGCATGCATATCAATAATTCTAATAGCACGCTAATACCCAAATACTTTCCAAAATATTTGCTTAGATTAATCATTTGGAATAAGCAAAGGCACGAGCTGTCTTTATATTTGTTTATAATTTGCATGAAACCCAAACTGATCATTTTTAATTATTTGCCTTGCTAAATACTTACTGACAAACCATGATACATCCGAAACTGATAAAAATACTTACTGAGCTTTTTCCCAGACAGAGAATAGTATTCCTTTTGATATCTGCGCCATAAACTTGTTTATGTTCATAAACTCTTCAAAGATTTCCATTGCAATTCACTTGGGTAAACTTATTCTGCTTATTGCTTTATAACAACATGATACGAGTTATTATAGAAAAACAGAGTTCAACTGAATGGAAGCGGGGAAAAAAGTGCTCGTAATTGATTTTGGTTAAATTTGATATTACAATTTTCATAAATCTAGCTTTGCCCGCATAAAGCAATACCTGCATGCCATTAAAAATGATTTCACTTCTGCATTTAATATTTATTGTAAATTTGTTTATCTAATTTCCGGTAATATATTTGCCTGTTTTCTATCTATCTGCATATTGTTGTCGCACCCGTACCCATCTGCAGCTAACACAGAAATTGCCAAAATCAATTGAATTCAAACAATCCGCAAAATTGCAGAAATGTATAAACTTTTCGCATGGAACTTCTCTAATTATTTGAGTGCCAAACGGCAACCGTAAAATGCGTCAGAGCACCGAGGTGCTGGCTGAAATCGTGGCTGGTTCAGGGGATTTGTTTGGGGTCACCATAAATTAACTTTGCCAAAATTACAAACATTTTCCCCATTAAAACCCAAATCACGGGGCCACACACCCTCGGCGGAGACACATACATATCCAGGATGGCTGGACGGGAATGGAGCAATTTCAATTAAAGCTAATTACAACCAATATCGACTGCCAACAATGTCAAGCGTCAAATGCGACGAAGCCACCCAAGAGGAGCCAGCGCTGTTGGTTTGTTGGTTGGATGGTCGGTTGGATGGAAGACCGGCTGGTGTCATGTCTGGGTCGTGCACTGAAAGAAACTGCGGTGATCCGCTCACGAGGTGTCACTCAGATGTCGCACCAAGTCCTTCGGAGAGCAGTAAGTCCTGCGCGCGGGGAGGATTCATAAGTAAGTGTTGTTGTCGCTGTCGCCGCCAGCCACTGAGATGTGGGAATTTGGGTGAACCTTAGTTGAAGCATTTATGAGCAGATTAAAACTGTACAGCCTTGACACTCAGCTGAAAAAGTGGAACAAGCAATGAAATGTTATTTGCAGTGTGGTACAAATGTCCTTCTTTAAATGAGAAAAAATAATGATTTTAATTCCTAAAGTGTCATGATTTTGTAACTTAATATAAAAAATCAATATATTCATTACAATCTTTTTTGAAAAGTGTGCCTTACAGCAAAACCTTTTTATATTTTTAAAACTCATCAATCATACGCCCTGTGCACTTGCCCACATTGTTCTTCCTATATTTTAAGATAAGTATTTATGGAAGGCTCAACTTTAAAAATGCCAAAAATAGCTTATCTTTTCAATATTTGTTTTTAATTTATGTCTCGAGAGGCTTGAGACTTTTTGGGCCGGGAGGGTCCACTCTAGTGGATGTGTGTGGGCGGCGGCTGCTTAAGGGTCCACAAGCTAGTGTCTGAATTTGAGTCACAACCCGTTGCAAATGCTGCCGTTGTTGTCGTGGAATAATTAAAGCAAATTTGCACTTCAGACAGTCGCCCGTGGAAAAACAAGGCAAACATCTCAGCCCTCAACGCTGGCGACCCACAACAAGAGCGGAGCCAAAACACCAGACCCAGGTACAATCCAGAATGCCGCCTCCTTAAGGAACAACAAAAACCCATGGGGATAGTAAGTGCAATGGTCCGACCGTAAAATATCCTTGTAAGAAAGTATTGCCGACTTTGGGGCGCAGATTAATATAGTACGAACCTATGGCATTTTTTTTTGGGTGAAAAGTATTAAATCAATTTTTTTATTTTTTTATACTTAAAAATATTTTTTTTTTCTGTAATACACTCCATTACCTTGTTACATATATTCTACAAAACCTTATACTCCCTTTTACTATACAAATACCGGTTATAACAACAACACCGTCAGCTGCCACAGTCAACATCAACAAAAAAGGGGTGCTCCAAAGTGCTTCGAGGACTCGTACCTCCTACAACGACAATAACAACAACAGCAATGCAGAACAAAACGCCAGTCAGCCGGGAAAGTAAGCAAAAAAATGTCTATATGTACGTAGGGAAAGGTACGAGTATGAGTATATATGTTTATGCTGGTATAATGTGGAGCAGAGCCAGCAACACACAAAACAATACCAGTGAGTGGCACAGAGCGTTAAATCAGGTCCGGATCTCGTGTACAAGATTGTAAAATTGTAGTCGTTTGACATTTTGAATATACCATTTTTATATTAACAAAGTGATAGTAACGAAAAAATAATGAACAGAATAATATGTCAATGTGTGTATTTATGTTCACATCATTTCGTATATTTATTTTTTTGAGAAACAAATCTTTAAGGAATTACGTATACGTAATTTTTCAAAGACATACTTTTTAGAAATTGCGTATACGTATTTTGGATTATAAAAAAGGTCATACGGTATTGATAAGATTTAATCACTTTAATATCAATTTAGTTGCCCTTTTTACCATAGTTACAAATTTATAATAGACTTAAATAATATATTCCTAAATCTCTCAGTAAAAAGCCCTATACATAAAATTTACAATTAAATCTATCTAAATAAAATGATTTAATTTAGATTTTTTTAATATTTAAAAAATTATTTATTTAAAAATCATTTAACTTAATCCGGTCCTTCCCCAGCGCTTCGCTCCTGTGGAAACGAGCGACGAACGCGGCGGAAAAGAGGAAACCGAACTACGGCCGCGATGACGGACTCGTGCGGATGCTGCCGATGCCGATGAGGATGGCGATGACGATGCTGCTGCCTCGGCTCTTCCTGTGGCTTTTCTCACTTGCTGAGCGCAACAAGGACCAAAAAATGCCAGCACGGCAACAACAAAAGCCAACAACAATAATAATAACGAACGGCAACAATAAACTGGGCTTGCGCCAAAAACGAAATACGAAAATTTGTGGGAAAGCGAACGAGAGCCATTTTCTCACAACGGTAGGAAAACAACAGCAACAACAACAAAGGAGCAACGAGATGGGAAAACAAAACGGCACACACACATACGCACGAAGAGCGGCTCTCACAGAAGGCTGCTCAAAGTCAAAGTTTCGGGTTTGTGTGTGTAATGTGGGAGAGATTCACCCAAAAAAAGTTTTCAACTTGAAATTGAACTGTGTGTGCCATAGTTGAAAGAAGCAGAAGCAGCATCAGACAAATTGGAGAGCGCCAGTTGTTGTTGCTTCTGATGCTGATTTTGCTCTTCTCTCTCCTCCTGCTGTACACAGAAAGAAGTAAATAAAATTCGTTTTAGCGTAACGATCGAAGACTTTACAAACAATTTTAACAATTTTCAAAAATAAGATATTGAATGGTGATTGCACAAACGTATCCTTTTTAAAATAATACAATTTCTATTTGAAATACAATAAGCCGATCCAACAAGAAATTTTAGAAACTTTTTTAACTTAGGTTGGTATTCAAACACTGACTTCTTATTTTTAAGTTAGCCATATATGTATATAAAACTAAACATTTCCATTATATGAATATAAACTGGTTGTGGATAATACATTTCAGTTTTGATCTAGTAGTGAAATGTTAAAATAATAAGGAAATATTTAAAAACAATGGTGACACGATTTAAGGGGACAAGCCTCCCACTCATAAGCGATTTGATCAGTTGTTGTTGATTGAATATCGACGTCTATTTTTTTACTGTGTAACGGGTTTTGTTGTTGTGGGAGCGAAAATATTTTAACGCAATTAGAGTCGGAGCATCGTCGTTGTCGTTGTGTCAGCATCAGAGCAAGAGCGAACGCGCACGCAGACGGACACGGACACGGAGCACGGATAAAACGGGCGAAAGACAAGAAAAACCAGGCAGCACAAGAATAGAAAGCTCAAGTGTGATGTGTGAAAAAAAGTGCCACAAAAGTAGTGTAAAACAGTGTGACCAGCAATGACAAAAACCTAAGCAGACTCAATTAACTGTGAAAACCTGCTGCACACACAGGGTCCCACACCCCCACAAGGTGAGAGTGTAGAAGAAAGCCAGAGAGCCAAAGAGAGGTGAAGGTGAAGCTAAAGGAGAAGCGCGAACAATTTGTTGAATACAACGGGACCGCCGCAAAGGAAAAAGCGAAAGTGAAAGCCAAAGAAATCTGAACTAAATTGTATTACGCCAAAACTAAACTGAAAACTAACGGAAAATTCCAAGCGTGCCCAAACAAACACTAACAAGAAGTAAAAAAGGGAAGAAAATTGGCGGCGCAAAAGTTAAAAGGGACAAAGACGATTAAGCAGCTTGCCAAGGACGAGGACCAACTGCCCGAAAGGTGAGCCCAAATAAGTCAGGCAAAAGTAAAAGGCAAAAAAAAGTACAGGCAAAGTTGCTCCTAGCGACACAAGGCAAGAAAGAAAAGGAAAAAATAAAAACGCCCCGAACAGATTTTTTCCCTCTTGGAAAGTGACAGTCGTCGACGTCGCCTTGCAACGCCTCAAGAATCCTCTGCTGACGTCGCAGCCTCCCGCTATTCCTCTTCCCAAAGCTTTTCGATTCACCCTGAGCTCAAGAGAGAGCTCTCACTCCCGAACCCAACCACCCGCCTTTCCCCCTCCGCCCACGCGTAGTTGTTGGTTTTCTTGTTATTCATAGGCAAACATAGGCAAACAAGCAGAAGCAAAGCAAAGAGCAACCTGCGTGGCTGGAACAACAACAGCAAACATCCAGCAGCGCTGCGAGGGCGGTTCTCAAAATGAAATTAGCCCGACTCGAATTTTCGATATTGGCCACCTTAATGCCATCAAACGGCAACCCGGCTTGCCCCGAAAAGTACGCTATGGCTTCTCTGTGCGGGACCCGAGTTAATCCCATCAAAAAGAATTTTTAAGGAACTTTTCAAAGCGGCGAAAGTCACCCGCCACAACTCAATATGGCTGAAATGTTAAAACCCGAATAAAAAACTCTGACCTTACATAACCTTTTTCACCGAGTTTGTTTACCCACCAAGTTTTTTTGCGGCATTTTTTAAGAGAATACGTCGCGAAAACTTTTAAACATCTTTTGCGAATGCATTTTCTTATTCAATTAGGATTATGTTTCCCTCATTTAATGTAGAAACTATAATCCTCTGTCAAACCTTCTTTATGCAATCTTTTGATTACATTAAATTTTCCGTTCGTAGGCCAATAGGACAAATTTTAATTCTTAATAATTTGAGCACTTTCTAATTTTTTCCTAAGGAATCAGTTGTAAATAATAAGTTTGGTGGTCAAAATTATGATAGAAGAAGTAAGTAACAATTTCATTCATTAAATATTTTGACTATCAGAAAATATTTATTTTACTTACTTACAACCGATAGTTGCCTATACGAGCGATTGATAAATTAGCAAGTGATAGCTTTGTGAACCTTGTTAATTTGATTAAATTAAAAGGACTTAAAGATTAAAAAAAAAAAATATCATGTTCTATCCGAAATTGGCTTTAATGAATTTCTTACCCTGACAACTGGCACGCCTCTTAAAGGTAATTGCATCAAATATTTTAAAGCAACTTCCACTTGAGAACCAGTTAATTCTTCTTTGACAAACTAATCCAGTGACTAATTTCCCAAACTCAACAACCTTTCCAGATTAAAATCTCGAGTTTCTCTTGAAGCTGAGATCCTGGCAATTTTCAGTTTCCTGTTAACATTTAGCCTCCCCTCGCTTTCCGACGGCTGGCATTGGCGGCAGTGATAATTCATGTCCCGCTGACATTTTTGGGTCAAAAAACTAAAATATTATGTGGTTACTCTTGCCATTTCGTTGAAGTGTGTGCGTAGGTCTGTCTGTCTGGGTTAGAGCCTTGTGTCGGTGGCTTGTAGTCATTATTTCGTTCAACCTTCGGAGGACCACCACCCTTGCTATCCATCATACCCATTGAAGGTTTGCCTGTGGTGCGTGAGTCCGCCTGGCATTCGGGCAGATTAAAATTGCATCCGGCGCGCCAAACAAAAGACTGTTGACCAATTTCGCTTAAACATAAAACAAGGAAAAATTACCAGCGGTCCTGGCAAAGGTTCAAGCTGGCACACACACACTAAATAGCGACACCAGCACATAAACACACGAAGGCAAACAGAAATGAATTCATAGTAAAAGTCTTAATTGAAATTTTTGCTTGAAATGTGTACAGAGGGGATTTTTTACTGTTCTGCGCCACCTAAAATGAAAGCGATGTGTCCATGGCGGGACCTGTGTATATATCATCTCTATATATATAAAAATACAGTGTGTGTGTGTGCGGGCTGGCTGGCGGCAACTTTGTGTGCCATCCGGATTCGGGCGGGGAAAAGTCGGACGGGGAAAAAGCAAAAGTCGTGGCCTGTGGTGTGAACGGATCTGTTGGACAGAACGGAGGATGAGATTCCAGGGGATTGCCAGTGGGATAAGGTGGAACTTTGTTGGGCTCTTGGCTTTACCTTTGTATCATATTCTTTTATTTAACTTTGTGTATGTGTTTTGTATTTCTATTAGACTGCCTCCACTCGCTTTCCAGCTAAGCAAGAGGCAATCAACGTGGCAAAAGAAATGAGTTAAATGTTTGATTACAAAATTGCATTCTACACCTCGGAGAGTTTCTCTTAACTTGGAATTCTCAATTTAGTTAGAGTGAGTTTCGAATTTAGCAGCGAAAGTTCGGTGCCTAATCAAGCAAAGTGAACAATTGACTGGAACTTTAATAAGACAGACTTGGTTTTCATCTGTTGAAAGCCATGAGATCTATTTTCCAGAGAAGTTTTGAATAAAAATAGTGCTCTAAGTAAATTATAAGCAATTTAATATAAGCCGCCAAGAAGTTAATAAGTTAAACTTCAAAAAAATATAATTTGACCAGCAATTTTAAAGCTTTTACTTATAATTTTTAATTGAGAGACACTCGTAATATAATTATTATATTTTAATCGAATCCAAAGTAGTTACATTTGTACGCGTAATTGCACATTCTGCACGTTAGCCACCAATGAGTAAATTATGCAAAATTTTATTTACCTTGTTAAATCATGCTGGAATAATGATTTTAAATAAACGGATTATACTGGAAAAATATCAATTAAGACAATTTGTTTTCAACGAAACTTAATCACACCTTTTCGCATAATCGGTGTGAATCACAATCAAACGAACATCAGCCAACAATAATAAACACATGACACCCGTAGTGCAGCATAATTGAATGTCTAAAGTAAACATTATAAGGGTAAATATAATAATTTATTAAAGCAAAACAGCAGATAATACAGCATTAGTAATTGAACACAGCAAAACTTATTTATGACTGTAAAAAGCATGTTTACTAAAAATAGGCCAAGTGTAGAAATAGAACAAATATAGGGAAGAGAAAAACAAATATATATTGATTAGATTATTATTTGACTGAAAAAACCAAACTAATAATTATCAAAAAGAAGTAAAGCAAACAAAAGTAAATTCAATTTAAATTAATGAAACGGTTTTAGTTTCACATTACGTGAGTAAATGTTGTTATAACATGGTTGAGCAAAAGAAAAGAAAATTCTTTAAACTGCATTTAAAAATAACTTTATGTTTTCCAGCGTTTCCTAACGTTTTTGTATATCTTTGTCAAGTTATTAAACTCTTATTTTAAAGCTATATAAGAACCTTTGACTTCTAATACACATTCAACCAGTATACCAGTATACGCCCAAATATTCAAGCTTATGTTTATTTTGTTTAATCGTGTCTAAATAATGCATGATTTTTAATTATGGTTATTTATGATGCAAAACGTACTGTGGTCCAAATTCATTTTGTATTTTAGGCAAAAGCCTTTAATTTAGTTGCAAACAATTTGGCACACAAATAAATAATTTATAAAAGAATGTAATTAAAAAAACTCCCTATGCAACTCTTGTTTTCTATTAAACTTGTATTCATCAAGAGATTACAGAAATAGTTTAAATTTATTTTATACCTTAACGGTTGATACTTAAATGAAACTAGCTATTTGTTTTTAGATCTAAACTAAAACCAACGCGTCAATTAGTAGAAAAGCAAAATTTTTATTGGCTTAGATGGCTTGTACTGTGAAAAAGTTCTCTTTTAGATTTTGAAAAGGTATTTTGAAACAATAGCAAGGCAAAAGTATTAAAATGAACATTGAAATCCATGTTCCCATTTATTTTCTCAAAATATATCTTCTCGGAAGTGGAAAATTAACAAATGGCCAAGAGATTAGGGAACATGAGTAGTGGTGAGAAATCTACATGGCTATAAACACAAGATTCAACACTTTTAGGACCCAAGCCGATCCACCGCCCACACTGACCCCGCCCCCAAGTCATTTGCTTTGAATGGGGAATGAATCTGAATCGAAATGTTGTGTTGGCTAAAATTTATGTGTCTATTGCCAAAGGATTCTATGCAAAGGGGACACAAAGGAGACTTAAGCCAAAGAATATGAGCCTGAAGATGAGCAGGGAAAGTGGGGAAGTGGGGGCAGTGGTTGGGGCGGGTGTGGGTGCCACTCCCACGCCCCTTGTAGCTGACAAATACACACACGCGCATACATACGCAATTACACGCCCACTTTGCTTTATCTTTGTAACTGTTACAAAACTTGGCTTCGTCTTCTTCATTTTCCTCTGCAGATTTCTTTCTTTTTCTGCCGTTTGCGAGTGTGTTTGTGTTGTTGGGCCATCTGTGCGTGTGTGTTTGTACTCGTATTTGCGTTTGTTTATCTTGGCCAGAAGCTATATAGTTTATCTATGTGCATGTTTGCCGTTCGCTGGTGGCCGTCGGCTGGTGTACACTTTTCCGCACTTATTCCATATTTAAGAGGCAATTTATATTCCCTTTTTTTGCACTCGCAGGCCGTCTCGCTTGGTGGCTCCTTGTCGCCCCATCGCTATCTCTATCCACTTTCGTCCGGCGGTCCATTCAGACTGCCATTCAACTTCAGCTACAGTTTCCGCTGCTCTACTCGGCTCTTTCTGCTCCCGATTCTGTTTCTGATTTAGCCGCCGCCAACACAGCACACAACACAGAAAAACGTTGGTAGGCTGTAGTGATTCGAAAATGTAATACCTAGTGATCTACTAGAAATAGAAGTGAGTTGTTCAAATAAGACGTTACACGTCGTAAATTGGCTGTCCATCTAAAATGTATTTTGTTTTTCGTTTTTAGCAGTTTTATCAGAGTTTAAATTAAAATAATGTTATATAATAAAATATGTTTTTCTGTTATTGTTAGGCTTGATAAACACTTCAAATTGTATATTAATTGCAAATCAACTTAACGTTTCAATGAACTAAAAAATTAAGCTTGAATA